CCTTACTTTTACTATAATTATATTATAAATATTTTCAGGGAAGTATAACATTTTTAAGCTGGTTTAACAGCATTTATATTTGACACGCTGAAACTTTTAAACTATAATAATTACCATCAATTCAATGTTATGCAGTTAATTTGCAGTCAATTCTATATCACTCTAAGGTCTAAAATTTAGTAAAAATTCTAATTACTGTACTATACATTTAAAATAAAATATTCTTGAAAAACAATAAAATCTTAAAATATAGGTAGCTGCTCTTTAAAATAAAGAAATTAGTATTTGAGACATTTTATGAGTAAGGATTATATATATATATATATATATATATATATATATATATATATATATATACACATACATACATACATATCCACACACATATACATACACACATACATACAGTATTAATATACTGTATATGAGATTTGAACTCGGGCCTGAAAAATAGACCGTCATCCTACCAACCAGGTCATTGATACTCACAATAAGGATCCCTTAAGGACCTAAATGGCACCTAACTGAGACTTTAAAATCTACCCTGGAGCACCACTAAGGTACCTTAAGGTAATCCACCCCCTTCATCCATACCATATAAGATGCACCCCTCAATCGTGTGGGTGATAATGTTATTATCCATGCAATTGTGGATTGCATCTTCACACACACACACACACACACATACTATACAGTATAATAATCTTAGACATTCTTCTTTTGAAACCCTCACAGGGTAAATAAAATAGTCAAAGAACAGGATTAGGTTTCTGACTATGTCATCAATTTAAACATATTCACTTGAGTGAAAAAATCTTAAACTAAGCATTATTGAGCATATCAAAATTATATACAAGACTTTAGATCTCACAGATTTGATCCATGATGACTTTGTAACGATCACAGATAGACAGTCTTTTGTTGCCGGAGACCTACGACTGAGTGTGAGGGCAACTGTAATTCTCTAAGCTTGTAATTCATTCATGTAACAGTAATTCTCTAAGCTTGTAATTCATTCATGTAACGGTAATTCTCTAAGCTTGTAATTCATTCATGTAACGGTAATTCTCTAAGCTTGTAATTCATCCATGTAACAGTAATTCTCAAGGTACACTTGAATTGCAAGCCGCCTCCATTTTTATTTTTAATTTTATAATGTATAATGAGTAAAAACAGCTACTAACCACTTCTGCAAACCCTGCACTTAAAATCATAACTGTTATCTTAATGCTGTATTATTCAATTCCAGTAAAGTATTTATTGTTTTCCTTAACCTTCATCGCCATGAAAAATAATGTTTCAATTATGCATACTCTGCTCTCAAATTTGATGTACATATTACATAAGCCCTCTAAAAACCACAAGGTTAGAGATATAGGGAAACGGTAGTGGACTGGAGAGCTAAATTAATAATACTATATCAATAAGTTTGACTTTAACGTAAAAAATGAATTTGTATATCATGTATATAAAACAATTTCTTGTGAAATGTATATATTGAAAATTAGTGAACACGTTGCTTTCACACTCAGGACTTATCTATATCAAGAACTGCACACTACCATCAACTATTGCACTGAGCATGTATTTGTACTGAGCGCTGTGACCTGCAAGTTATAGTGGCAAATGGGTACCCACACTTAAATACCAGTAGCAGATTTTCACAAGCTCACAAAAGATACTTGGTAAGACACAAGAGAAAAAATATTCTATTGCCAGCTCCAATTCTCTGGAAGACAAATCTGCAAACTAGCCCTTTTCAAGTCAGCCAATTGCCATTAGCACCTGGGAGACAGTAGTAAGGCTGCCTAGAGCTGCCTTGAGGATGCTTAAAGCACCATGTACCTCACAATATACGTAAGCTCCCTCCTTTTAAGTAATTTTACCCTAAACAATTACCTAAACTTAACAAATCTGAGACTGCCTCGGTTTCAAGGCATGAACAATTCCAACTATTTACAATAACATTACACATGCTTTGATAAATGATAAAAGTTATGTATATAGTACATACAATATATAATAACAGTGTGACACAGGAGACATGGATTAGATCCATGCACTTAACAGTCACCTCTTCTATTCACCCTGACTAAACTATTCTGTAACTTATCATCACTGGTCCCAGGCACCTTCATTTATAATTTGTTAAATACAATGCTTAGCAATTCATTATTATTAGCAATATACCTAACACAAATTGAAGGTTTAGAAGTTCCTTTGTGCAGTAAAAATAACAAAAATAATTTGATAAAACTAACAAGGCATTGAATGAAATTACACAAATCTTAGAGAAAAGCCTTTTAAAGGCACCCTGATTATCACAAGAGCTTTACTGCTCTCCATATCTCCATTTACATTTAGGAGCTTAATTATTGCACACTTTTTTCCACATTTAGAGAACAATAGTTAAAGAAGGTCACTAGCATACCACTGAATTTAAAATAAAATATACTGTAATTATGGTTGAATAACATTATTCATCCGTATATAAATTTTCAGCCTTTGCAAAGAATGATGTTGATGGAATTGCCCATATAATAATGTGAGAACAGTAAGATTCTGTATACACCAGCTGATAATATATGAACTAAGAACTTTTGTTCATGCACGACACTTCAGGAAGTATTCAGTCCACCATCTCAGTGTTGTTTGCACGTGTTTGGAATGTGAGCTCTTCTGAGTAGATCAAAAACATTAATATTGCCTTGGTGTTCCTATTCCATCACCTTATTGTTGCTGTACATTGGAGTGAACCCATGTTATTCTGCCAACCAACACCATCACCATTACCCTAAGTAACTTTTGCAGGAATTTCCTGCATGGAGGCTTCTGATCTGCAAGATTCCTTCATAGGATACAGGGTGGAGCCTCCTTGTGGGTGGCTTGGCCAGTAACCTGCATTATCAAAATTTTTGATGCTAAAGCACTTGTGTCTGATGTGCTGATCTTCCCATGCCCTGTTTTCTGCCATCCACCGCCCAGCACCGAACAATATGGATAATGACATTACCTGCCACTATTGTGGGCCTTACAATTGCATGCAGGCGTTCTCAGCTTGCAGTGTGCTTACGAGCCACGTGCCTTAAAAGGTGAGCCTTCTGCTTGAACTTCCAGTCACAGTGGGAGCATTGAAACCGAGGTTCTACTCCACACTCATTCTTGATGTGGTGCTTGAGACCCTTGCGTGTCTTGTAGAGGCGCCCGCAGCGAGAACACTCGTGGGCGCACATCAGATGAGGCGCAGATAGGGTAGGTGTGGGTGGGGAGCAGCGTCCCCAGGGGGAGGACGGAGGGGGCCCATACAGCCCAGGAAAAGGTGAACCCAAGCCTGGGTGGGACCTTGTGGGGATGGGGGGCAGAGGGGAGCCTAGGTAGGGAGCCAGAAATTTGTTTTTCCATATCCCTGCAACGAGGAAGAGAAGACATCAGCTCCTACTTCCCCTCATGACAAAGTTTCTGATGGTAAGATACTTGGTGACAGAAGATTGGTGTGTGAGCAGTAGTGTCCTGTTGTGTACAGAAACTTGTCTTGGCTGTGTCATTTCAGAACTTATAAGCAATATCATAATTTTTTCTTCTTTGCAATATATTTCCGAGATTTTTTTGTGGTTTTAGCATTCATGATAACTTTCATTCCACACTCTAATGAAAAATAATTGCCTACCAGACCTAAAGAGCAATAACAGTTTCATTCAGTGTCCCATAAAACCTCCAACCTTTGTACATCCTCTGTGAAAATGTCCTTAAATCTGCATATTGTATATTACTTAAGTAATATTATGAGACGATTAGATACAATAAGATATCTTGACTTGATAGTGACAGACCACTTTTCAATGATCTTCCATTTTTATCTCACCACCTGATCACCAAAGGACTAAAACCACCACAAACAACAATGACCACGAATGACTAATGTAAAATCAAATAAAGTAATTCCACGTACTATGACCAAACAAGAGTGAGCAACCTCAATAAATTCACAAACAAGGATTATATCAACCACTACTGACAAATATATACTGCATAGAATGGCACCTCATTGGGTTTTCAAGGAAATGAACACACCTATTGGGCCTTCAACAAAATATCAACAAATATTTTTTGGCAGCGGGTAATTGGCACATTCCTGCTTTATTATTATAATTAAGAAAGAAAATTTTGAAGTGGAAGAATGATGATAGTCCAGTCATGCTCACATACTCTAAAATAATTTAGCCAAAAATCTACTCATAGACAAATGCACTTATTTGTGCATAGAAGGAAGTCATAACTACTAGTAAAAGGCACATCCTCTTACCACATAAAAATATGACAATCAGTAGTAGACACTGAAGACTGAGAGCAGTACGACACCATCACCCTTTGATCCACTAAGAATTACAAATACTGTACTGTACTACTAAGAATTGTATGGTAGTGCCCAATAAGTGTGTTATGATGTGGCTACTCTCCACCACGAGCTACAATCTACAGAGCTACAGGATAACTACACTACATTGGCACAAAATATAAAAGAACTAAAGACATAAGTGTATTCTGGTATATGGAATTTAATATACAAAAGTTGTATTTCTTAAATATAATTAAAACATTGAATAATGAGTTAAGGAAATAGCAAAATATATATATCAAATGTCTAGCTTCAGACAAGATTTTAACTGAAAAACTAAATTGTCAATGCAAACAAAGGCAAATTATTAATTAAATAAAAACAAAAGAATTTGTGCCAATCTCTACTTTGCTACTTGAATGAATGAAGCCTCTGTGGACAGTACTGTAGTTAACAGAACAAACACAATAGTGAAAATATATTTTTTTTAATTACTATTAAATTAAGAATTATGCAAGTTTGACAAAATTAAGAAATTATAGCCATTACTGTATATGAATTTTAATAACCTCCACACAGGTAATAAAATATTTGTGAAAAACCTTATGACTGCATTTTCTTCAGTCCACAGAAGCTACACAGGTTATATAATTTTTCACTTTACCTTGATTGGTGCTTTCTAAGGAAGGAAAAGATTCATCGCTGGCAGACGTGTCTGGTGGATATGGCCAGCCAAGGTAACCTAAGATGCAATTAAGATGGGGTTAGAAAAACTTTACTGCATTAATGAGTATATTTTTTCAGGAAATAAGTCAAAAGTATTACAATAATTCCATCTGCTAGTACAGTAATACTGTTTAATGTGAGAACATATTTTGATCTACAAAGGTTATTAAAACTTACTGGGTGTATGTGGAGCATCCTCCGGTAGTAAACGAGATGTTGATGGCCCAGGAGTGTCTGGGTGGTCATGGGATGTTCGATCACTTATACTTCTGTCGTCACACTCATCATCTGACTGATGATTAACATCACTGCTGTTCTCATCGGGGCGGCCAATTCCTGATAATGGTTTATTTGGGCTGGAAGATCCATGGTCATGATCACTGTGGTACCTTGTTATACTTGGAGATGATCGTGGGATATCTATAAGACAATCTCCTCTTGATGACCCAACAAGGTTTTCAGGGGAAGGACTACTTGCTCGTAATGTTTCTCTTATTTCTCTTTCTCTTATTTCTCTTTCTCGCTCTCTTTCTCTTTCTCGTTCTCTTTCTCTTTCTCGTTGTAGTTCATGTTCACGTTCTCGCTCCCATTCTCGATCGCGCTCTCGTTCTCTATCGCGCTCCCGTTCTCGATCACGCTCTCGTTCACGTTCTCGCTCCCTTTCTTTCTGTTGTTGTTGTTGGTCACGGAGAATAGGATGAAGTGGTATAGGAGTAATTGTAGCTGGAATACGGGGGAAGTGAATACTGTCCCCCGGTGAACCAGATGATCTGCCATCACTATCCCCACTTTCACCACCTTCGCCAGATTTTTGCCGGATTTTTCTCCTACGTTTTGCACGAGGAGAATCGCCATCCTCCCGTGTAGAAGGCTCCGTCACTGTTGTGGTGGCTAGGTTAGGTAATTTAATAGGAGCAACCAAATTTGATGATGCCAAACTCAGTGCTGGCGGCATTGTCAGGACAGTAGACAACACAGAAGGAACAGAGACAGGGGGAAGGGGGAAGGCATCTAGACCTGAACGACCACCTGTAACTTCAGGATGCGAGTTTTCTATCTTTAGCCGGTCATGGCTCGTGGGATGTGTAATATGTGACTCTGCTTCAATCTTATTGCTACCATCAGCCAAACCTTTAATTTTAAGTGACTCCGCTGTCTTTATTAGTGGTCCTAGTTGGTCCTGAGAGACATTTACTTCTCCCCGATACATGTAATCCAACAAAGCCTTGAGTTCATTATGTTTTACATCCTTTAATATCACAATGGGGTGCTTATCTGTAGTTTGAGCAAACAGTGTCTGAAAGATAAAAAAGACAATGATGGTAATAAGAACATCACCAGTCAGGAATTCTATTAGGAGAAACACTTAAATGATAACAAATCTACAATGATTGCTTTATTGTATTTCAAAAAATCCTCCCTTGATTTGTGCAAAAGTATGCATTTCTGGAAAATTTCTTCCTGAGTAAATCTGTTCAAAGACAAGGTAAGATAACTATGTATGGAAAAATATGCATCCCAGAAACTAATCTAAAATATATATAATTTTCTTGATCATATTTGCTCTGAAAAATTGTAGGTGTGGCGGTGGTGGTGAGAAAGCAGAGGTGTGTGGCACGTGGAGATGGTGTAGGTAGGTGTATGATATGTGGGGATGATGGGGATAATGATGTTGATAAGTGTATGATAATAGTTATTAAGCTACACTGCCCCATAACAAAAATAGGAAATGTTTTAAGACCAACCATAACTGTTTTAAGTTTCAAGTACTGTAAACGCAATAAAGGATTCTCTTGATACGAAGAAAACAAAAAATATATGAATGGTTAGCTCACTCATATCCAAAGAAAGAGGGCCTAAGTGTGAATCCCGGGCAGTGTAGGGCAATTTGGACATTCTTCCTTCACCCACCCTTCTACTCCTAGCATTAATTTTATTTATTTATATAGTAGGTACAACGGCTGTGGAAGTACATACATTAGTGACTGGATGTTATATTCTTGCAAAGCCATTAACATGCATAGCATTTTTGGGCAGGTCTTTAATCTAACCAATAAATGTAATAAGTACATTGTAACAGAGTTTGAGTTCTGCATAATAAAGACGCTATAAATTGATAGAATTGATTAGACTGCTGAAGTTGCATGTCTTTAGTATTAAATTGGGTGAGTGGGTAGCACAGGATATAGTGAGAGTTAATAGTACAAAGTGGGATACTATGAAGAAGAAATTAGGTACTTTATGGTTCTAATTTTGAATAAAGTATAAGTGGGAATTTTTGTTTAATTCATTACACAGTGAGTTCCGCATAAAGGGTCCTTTTACTTAAAAATGTAGTGTTTGCACAGATAGAATAAATGGAAATTTGAATGGGGTTCTGAAAAAGACATGTAGGATAAGGTTGCAAAATAAGCTAAGGTAGTGAGAGCTCTTAGTCAGCAAATGAGTTAAAAGACAGTTCATGTTCCAGTAACCATCCCAGTGTTAAGGAAAATACGTTGGGTACAATTTTAATTTTGGTAGCAAGATTCAAACTGTTTCTGTACATTGTTGTCAGTGCTTTGTGCTATTTTCTACCCCAGCTCAATCTATGTAGCTATAAATCTGCAATGACTGTGCATTTATATATTTACTGCTACATTCTAATGATATAGATGGTGAAAAAAATGTAAAAAATAATTACCTGGAAGTATGGAGAACATGCTGATAAAACAACTTTGTGTGCTTTGAGCATACGACCCTCGGCAAACAGTGTAACATCCACCAGGGATTCGCTGGCCAACAAGTTGTCAAAAACAGCCACCAGAGTTGACCCATGGTTATTCCACCGCAGGCAAAATTGTTGCTGATCCATCATTTTGTCACTGAAAAAAATAACAATTATTCATTAGATATAGATTGCATATATTTTTAAGTTAAATTAGCTAATTAGATACAATAGTTGAATTAAAAACAAACTCATATTAAAATTAAAATGGGCATATTACGAGTTTTTTTTATAAATAATATGAGTGTGATTGAGAAAGGTTATTTTTGCAGAAGATTCAGCTACTTGAAACAAAAGTTCCAAGTAACACGGGCCATGGTGAGCCCATAGTAGACCTGTTTGAGGAAGGTACTCTAGGATGGGATCTCTCATATGAACAAGGAGCCTGACAGCTGAGTGGACAGTGCTTTGGATTCGTAGTCCTGAGGTTCCAGGTTCGATCCCCGGTGGAGGCTGAGACAAATGGGCAAAATGTTTCTTTCACCCTGATGCCCCTGTTACCTAGCAGTAAATAGGTACCTGGGAGTTAGACAGCTGCTACGGGCTGCTTCCTGGGGTGTGTGTAACAAACAGGCGGCCTGGTCAAGGATTGGGCCGCGGGGTCGCTAAGCCCTGAAATCATCAAGTTAACCTCAAGGAATATAATGGAGGGATAGCTTAAGTTACTCAATCCTTCTGAGATGTATCTTACTGTCTCAATAAAAGTACTTGAACTTGAAGGGAGTATAATTATGAGGCTGGTGTAATGAGTAAAGTTAATGTAAAGAGCATGGGGCATAGTGCTGGGTTGAGGGAGTGAGGGAATGGATGGTAGAAGAAGTGGGTCAAGCTAAGAGGATAGGTTAAGGGAACTAAATCTCACGAAAGCTCAAGAAAAGAGGATATAATCATGACTACAAGATACTGAAGAGAAGGAAGGTGGTGGTGGAGGAGGAGGAAGATGGTGGTGGTGGTGGAGGAGAAGAAAGGTGGTAGAAGATGAGGAAGGTGGAGGAAGGTGGTAGTGGTGGAGGAGGAGGAGGAGGAGGAAGGTAGTGGTGGTGGAAGATGGTGGTGATAGAGGAAGGTAAGTGGTGAAGAAGAAGGAATGTAGTGATGGTGGTGGTGGTGTGATGGAGGAAGGTGGTAGAGGAGGAAAAAAGGTAGTGGTGGTGGTGGAGGTGGAGATGGAGGAGGAGGGAGGAGGGAGGAGGAAGGTGCAGATGGTGCAGAGGAAGAACGAAGGGAAACAAATCAGCTACCAGGTCAATATAAGGAAGCACTGTACTCATATCCAGTATGGGTGGTCATCAAGTGGAATGCTCTGAAAAAAGTTGTGGAAGCCACTTCCACTTTAAAGCCAGATTCGACAGAGAATTCGAATGCCAGAATAGTTAAATTGTAATGCAATGAAAACAAGGCTACTAGTCTTGGTTTACTGTGTAAAACTATTCTACTTAGTTCTATCTTCTCACATAGCCTTAGATGGCCATAGCCATCACTGACAATTGGTAGCCTTAGCCATAGCCTTAGATGGCCATTCCATGCTTATCACTGACAATTGGTTCAACATGATAATTAATATTAAACATTATTTCATCAGAAACAATGGATTAGCTCGATTAGGATTAGCATAATCCTTACAATTATGCTATATAAATTTGATTGTTTTAGTGCTAAGACTATCCTTCAAAATTTTAAGATATAGCTTAAATTATTGTAAATTAATTTAACATTTTCTGATACAACATTGAAGTAATCCCCAAAATTGATTAACTTAATCAATTATTGAACATGCTTATTCAATAAAAACCGTACAGTTGTTTTATAACGAAATTATTATTACTTAAATATATCGCAGTCACTTAATTTTGTTCACCATTCAATTAAGTTAAATCTAGTTTTATTAATCCCTTCATAGACTAAATAACAAGTACTCACAAGAAGGGAACGGTATATGCCGGGTGGAGGGTAATGGCGCGCGCTACACTGTACGACCTATTCCCACCCAAGCCCATAGTAACCCACCAGGCTCCACCCCAACCACAAGACCCCTGAACACCCCTCCTTGCCAGACCCAAGCCAGAGAAATTCCTTCCCATCCGAATTCTACCCAAGACAGCTAACTCCCTCCCTGCCGGGCCCCACCCCAGGCTGCACGGCCCAGAACACCACTTCTCTTCTAGACCTTGTTCCAGACCATTCCCTGCCGGACCCCACCCCAGACCACAAGACTCCAGACAACCCCTCTCCCTGCCGGGGTTTCACTGCTGACGGCAAGACCCCAGACAGCCCCCCTTCTCTGCTGGGCTCCACCCCAGACCACAAGACTATAGACAGTCCCCTCCCTGTTTGGCCTCATCCCAGACCACGTGACTCCCCAGACAGCCTCCTCTCTGCCAGACCACAAGACCCCCCTCCCAGTCAAGCCCCACCCCATATCTCAGACAAGCTTCACCCCAGACCAGACAGCCCTCTCCTTGTCTAGCCCCACCCTCAGACAGCACCTCCCTGCCGGACTCCACCCAGCAGGGTTGGAAATAGTGCTCAACCGTCCAAGTGGTTGGGCACTATTTCTCCCCCTTCCCCTCCCCCATCCCAAATCGTTGTCCTGACCCTTTTCAAGTGCTACACAACCGTAATGGCTTGGCGCTTTCACCTGATAATTTCCTCCCTCCTTGACAATCCCCTCCCTGCCGGACCCCACCCCAGACCACAAGACCCCCAGAAAGCCACCCCCTCCCTGCCAAGCCCCACCCAAACACACCTAGCCTACCGCCCCACTGTTCAATACTGCACGCGTATTGACTCCGTCCTGCAAGCCTCTCCCACCTGTTAATTTGCTCGTGAGTAGGCAAATCTGAATTATATAGAGAATTATTCATACAGAAGAGATTAGATAGAAACTTAAATATTAAGAATACTCTAAACACACATTCCAAGGTATTTAAATGTCAATTCTTGACATTAAATTAAAACAATTACCAAAGATTACCTCAAGTCCATCACTTCCTGAAGTTGTAATTGGTTATATACAAGCATTTTCTGTGGTAAACAAAATATTGCAGACATCACTAGCTTAAGTCGCCTTCTAGGACGTGAAATCTCACTTGAGGCAGGTCATGTCACTGCCAACTGTCGGCCTAAACATTTGTCATCGCTTTTTTACATATTGATCAACCTACTCAAGTGATTCTTGGTGACAAATCGACACCTTTCGAACTATCGGAGCCTATATACCCTAAAAATTACCTCCTGACGACTGTATTCCCCCAAGGAACTACCTCCAGACATATACATATTCCATGGAACTACCTTCCGAGGCTATGACGGGAGACATCTGTCACGCAGGGTGCAGTCGCACCTCCACAGATCTCCAGTATCAGCTCTTGATACTGGTAATGGCTCAAAAGGGCCACAACTTACGGGCTATTCATGCCCGTGCCACCTTTTGGGTGGTTTAATCTTCATCAATCAATTCTTCCGACGCCTACATATCCCATACCTTGTAGAGCTGAGGCAAAGTGAAATTGACACCAGTAATTCCATCTATCATCATACAATCATGCAAGAGGAGCCACACATCTATGGATCATCCAATAAAATCAGCAGACTTCTAGATGTTACTACTGCTCGGCTTAGACTCGGTTACAAGTATCTCTGGGAATTTTCATTATCTGCCGATGTAGACCTGATCAAATGTAAACTGTGTCAACAAAATTATTCGCACACCCTCCGTCGCTATGTGATGGAGTGCGAAAAGATACGTGAATTTAGGCAATTCTATAACAAATGTCAGGCTGCGAGCAGCCGCGTCCAACAGCCCGGTTGACCAGTCCAGCTACCTGCAACCCGTTCTCGCAAATTTAATAAGTCAATATTGACTTATTAAATATGTGCATAGGTGACATACTTAACATAATAGCTACCCTTAAAAAGATTCATAGAAAACACCGACCTTACCTAACCTACTTAGTATGTTAAGATAAGCATCTTATTGCTTCGTAATTACAATTATTACCTAACCTATAATAGGTATAGGTTAAGTAATAATTGTAATTACGAAGCAATAAGATGCTTATCTTAAGATACTAACAAGGTTAGGTAAGGTCGGTGTTTTCTATGAATCTTTTTAAGGGTATCTATTATGTTTAGTATATCACCTATGCACGTAGTTAATAAGTCAATATTGACTTTACGAATTTGCGAGAACGGGTTGCCACCACGAGGCCTGGGCGATGATTGGGCCGCGGGGAGGCTAAGCCCCGAAACCATCATTAGGTAACAAGGTAAGTAGTTACTCCATTAAACTTATCATTAATTTAACTAAATTATTGATAAGTTATAACTAAATATAACTTACTAAGTTATAACTTTCGGGGATAACATAATTATTGAATTGTTATCCCCGAAACGCTTTGTGAAACAGTAGCTTTATTAAATATGCTCCTTTATGTAACGAATAAGCAACTACTGTATCATGTTCTTTAGAATATGTTTTAGATAAATACTATTATACCGCTCACTAAACTAAACTAAAAAGGTCTAGATAGTTGAGAACACTGCTCTTGACAGCATAATCATCCCCGAATCTTTGTCCTTATTACTAGCACTAATTTCAAATTCAAATGTTTATTCAGGTAAAGTACATACATACAAGGTGTGATACAAATATTGATTTATTTATAGATAGAGCTAGTACATACAATGCTTAAAGCCACTATTACGCAAAGCGTTTCGGGTAGGAAAAACACTAAACACCTAAAACTTAATAGTTTTATATATAGCAGACAGACGATAATCAATTTCTTTATTATGCACCCCAGACCCATCCCTTGGGCGGTGATGTAAAGGATTACAGAGGCACATACTAGTTCGTTTAGCTAATCAAATAACAATTTTTGACGCTAGTTACAAAATTATTAATGTTATATATACATGTACACATTCTCATACATACATGTACATATATATATAAGTATACATTCAGATGCATCAAATAGCAATTGATCTATCCTCCCGTCTTCGCATTTTGATGTAAATGACGCAAAAATTTCCAACGGATAAAATATGATGTACTATAAATCACAGTGGCTTCCAAACAACCACGTTTTCTAT